CTTTCCCCGGAAAACCTACTTATGCAGCCTTCTTTTTTTCCTTTTTTTAAAAAATATTTATTTATTTATTTTTGGCTGCGTTAGGTCTTCATTGCTGCGCGCGGGCTTTCTCTAGTTGCTGAGAGCGGGGGCTACTCTGTGTTGCAGTGCGGGGGCTTCTCATTGCGGTGGCTTCTCTTGTTGTGGAGCACGGGCTCCAGGCACGTGGGCTTCAGTAGTTGTAGCACACAGGCTCAGTAGTTGTGGCTCGTGGGCTCTAGAGTGCAGGCTCAGTAGTTGTGGCACACGGGCTTAGTTGCTCCGCGGCATGTGGGATCTTCCCAGACCAGGGATCTGACCCGTGTCCCCTGCATTGGTAGGCGGATTCTTAACCACTGTTCCACCAGGGAAGTCCCTGCAGCCTTCTTAATAAAACACCTGGAGCATATTTTATGTGTTGTTGGCTGGATAGGGTTTTACTTCAGTTTAACTTTTCAGTATTACAGTTTAACTGTAACAAAGTCTTCTGTTAAAATAAATTTTTATCTGTCTTGTATCTAAAATTTCTCTTTTAGATTTAAACAAAGCCCCAAATTATAAAAATGTCCTCAAAGTTAAAATTGGTTTTATTTTTATAGGCTTACACTTAAGAACATTTAATGATATTTATGAAATATATCTGTTAAGTATATATTGCTCAGAACTCATGTTCCTTTCTGTTTTTCAACTTTACGTTGGTATATTGGAGACTAAGTATGAAGACTGACAAATCAATGATAATGAAAAAAAATCAATAAAACAGAATTTAGGGGGGAATAAAGATCCAGGTCCTAGATGTTTGAGTTGTTTCTCTTATTCAGTAGGTAGCATTAATAGTGTAGAAATCAGCAGATCACACTTTGAAACAAGTTGTATGTTGATAAAAATTACTTATCTAAATCTCATTTTATGATTTTTTTTACGTCCCACTTATCCAGCTATTATGGGTATTTTAATATTCTGGCTAAATGAAAAATGTCATAATTTAGTATATAAAAAAATTGAAAAGCAATTTTCAAAGAATTAGAGCTTGAATGCACAGTAAAAATACACTGACTATAAATGGGACCAAAAGTAGATTACCAAATAACCTGATCATATATATATTTTTCCTTAATTACAATTTATATTTTGCCCCCAATTTATTGTTTTTGGATTCATCTCAATCTGTACAACATAGGGGGAAAATTTCCCCTCTCTTTTAAAGCTAGCATTAAATTAATGGTTGATGTTACAATCAAAGACCTCTTAGAATCAAGAAATAGTTAAGATACACAGTGCAATGCTAAGAGTTATCTTTGAGTAGTGAGGCTGCACCTCATTTTCCATTTTCTTCTCTCTGCTGGTTTGTACTTCCTGTGGTGAACGTATATTTGTACAGTAAGAAAAAACAAAAGAAAATATAAACACTATGAATATAATTTCACCTCTTTCTTTTGTGGTGTTAAAAACAAGACAACAGGCCCCAAACGGAGTCACCTATTGTAAGCCCCACGTCTCCAAACTGAGACTTCATTACAGTTTTGGCTCTTCCAGAAATGGAATCGTAACCCAGTCAATCAGGAATGGCTTGACCAGGACTGGTGTGGTCACCTGCCTGATAGACCCCTGCCATCCCCTAAAGGAAAGTAACCTTTCAATAACCAACTTGCTTTTTTGCCGAGTACAACTTCCTTGTTGCCATTCCCTTCTGCCATGAAAAGTCTTTCATTCTGTCCAGCTCCTCAGAGCTTCTTTCTATCTGCTGGATGGGATGGTGCTTGATTCATGAATCATTGAATAAAGCCAATAAGATCTTTAGAAATTTACTTAGTTGAATGTTTTTTAACAAATGGGGAGAAGAGAATTTAAAATCAGTGTTTCTTGGCCATCTCTTCTTAAATATAAAGTGTTTTAGGATGCACAGTAGGAGGTGTGTAGATGCCTGTGCTGGAGCTGAGGGATGCAGAGAGAACGGTGTGGCCCAGACTCAGGGACCCCAAATCAGTGGAAGCACTAAGAGGATGGTGGAATCTAAAGGTGCAAAATGTTCTCGAAGACAGGCGAGACGGGTGGGTGAGCGGTCAGGGTACACATTATGGGAGAATATGCAGCTTTTCATGGAAGTGATACATTAATATTTCCTTAATATTAGAAAAAGCCTCCAAAATGTAATCATCTGAGTTGATTAAGTTGGCTACTCCATTAAAAACAAAAACTTTTTTTTACAGTGGAATGGATCCCAAAATGTAATAGACTATTAAAGCACATTTTGTTGTTATAAACCCAGCAATAAAGCAAGATTCAAATAACATTCCTCAAGAAACAAAACAATAAATCTAAATAGAGCAAATACGTGATAAAGTAGCATTAGCCTATAACACAGCTATTAATCTATCTTTTGACCTTTTGAATTATTTTAAAAAAACTGATCTCACAATTTTTTTTTCCTTATAGATGGGACCTGATAAAATGCCTTGCTTGAGGTCTGGCTAGAGGATGTTTATACCTATGATACCTATTATCACATATGTGTCATTCTATCAGTATTAACATTATTACGCGGCTGGCCGAGCATTAGAACATTACTCAGTACTTTGTCTTTCGCGTATATCCTGCTCTAGAAATTAGTAAAATATTAATGCATTTCCTTTGTAAAGCACACAACAGTGATCTGTACTTTCGAACCATCAGCCGTAACAAGTCATCTTGTATAAACACACTTCCCCAACATAATCAGACTTATCGGTACCTGGTACCTTGCCTTTTTACCCCAGGCCATCCGGAAATTCTGTCAGGGAAAAGGAGCTCAAGGGCACTGTGGTTTCCCCTCTTCCTCTGTTGATTTTATCATTTTTTTTCTTTTTCTTTCCTCTTTTTTTTAAAAAAAAGCTTTCCGGTGTCAAAACTCAATGCAAATTCCTGATTCCCACTGAGAGACAGTAAGATAAACTAGGGTTACCCCCAGGTTCTTAATGTCCCCGTAGGTACCTGCTGCAGCTTTGGGGCAGCAGGAGCTTAGCTGCTGGAAGAGCCAGCTGTCCCTGCCACCTGGGTCCTACTTGGGTCTGCGGTCCACACTGCCAGAGAGCTCCCTCCCAGGGCCGGACACTCCCTCTGCACAGCTGGGGTACAAAGCTGTGCACACACGAGAGGAAGGATGGCAAGGGAAGGTAAAGAGAAGAGAAACTGGAGCCTTACCTGTCTGGTTTCTGCCCTCCAGCCCAACCAGGGGGGACAGCAGCAGGAGGTCAACCACCCTGTGGGTTCACCCCAACGTGCAAGCAGCTGCTGGCCAGCTGGGCTATAAATAAGGCCCCTCTAGAGCACAGGAGATAAGAACCCAGCCTCTCGCTCCTGCAAGCCTTTTAAGGTATGCAAATTAAAGGATCCTCAGCCCCCAGAGGGGAAGGGGCTGCCAGCTCCCCATCTGGCCTGCCGGCCTCAAGGACATCCCAGGCCTGGCACGTATTCCTGCGGCAGCAGGGGAGGGGAGAGCCAGGGCTCCAGGGAGGGATCTCGCTTTGTCGGGCAAATGGCAGAGCCTCCGAGGCCCCATGCTGCGATCCCCTCAGGTTAGGGGGTTGGCACTGAGGCACAGAAGGGGAAGAAACTTCCGCAGGACACACAGCCCTCTGTGGCCTGAGTGGAGTTTCAGCTGACCACCACCTTCCCCCGCAAGCCCCCCCTAACCCCACCCTGGCTTCAGGGACATTTGTTTGGGTGGAGATTCTGGGAAGACCAGGGATCAGTCCAATCAACACTGGGCCTCCGGGAAGCTAGGAGTGGACGCGTTTACAGAAAGCCCTGGTTCCCACCCTCCCCGCCCCAGCCTGATGGTGAGGGTTTCTGGAGCCTCAAGTCACCTTCTTTAAAGAAAATGCAATCTTCCTAGAGCCTTTTCAAATCATTTGCTGGGAGACAAGGGAGAAGACTAATTTGGGGGAGCAACTGTTTCTGATTCATCCGTAAATTTCTCACTCACTAAATTTCTCCTGAAAGGCATTTCATCCGAGGACCGCTGTCTGTGTTAAGGCAGTGATTCCAGGTCTGGGGATTTATTCTAAGGAGAGAACCAGGGATGTGGGCAGAGACGCAGCTACAGGGACATTTCTTGCAGCTCTTTTCATAATTGGGAATAGCTGGAAACAACCTGAATGGCTGAAAACAGAGGCCTGGTTAAACGAGGAAAATTACTTCCGTAAAGGAAACACCCTGCAACCGTAAATGCCATAGCAGAGGGTTTAATGATTTAGAAACAGTAGTTGATAATTAGTACTAAGAAAGCAGCCACTTTAAGGGGAAGATGGGGTATTTGTAGTAAGTGACTGCAAGCAGTCCCTAACCCCCAGACCCTCTGAAAGAACACGCCCCCAGTGAGAAAACGAGGCTATGGCTGGATGGTCAAATTACGGCTGATTTCATTTGCTTCTTTGGTTTATACACAATCCCTAAATTGTTTACAGTGATCTCATTCTGCTTTTATAATAACTGTAATTTCACTTTTTTTTTTTTTTTGCGGTACGCGGGCCTCTCACTGCTGCGGCCTCTCCCGTTGCGGAGCACAGGCTCCGGACGCGCAGGCTCAGCGGCCACGGCTCACGGGCCCAGCCACTCCGCGGCGTGGGGGATCTTCCCGGACCGGGGCACGAACCCGCGTCCCCTGCATCGGCAGGCGGAGTCTCAACCACTGCGCCACCAGGGAAGCCCTAATTTCACTTATTTTTAAATTTAACTTTTATTGGAGTATAGTTGATTTACAATGTTGTGTTAGTTTCTGCTGTACAGCAAAGTCAATCAGTTATACATATATCCATTCTTTTTTAGGTTCTTTTCTCATGCCGGTCATTACAGGGTACTGAGTAGAGTTCCTTGTGCTATACAGTAGGTCCTTGTCCGTTATCTCTTTTATATATAGTGGTGTGTATATGTCAATCCCAATCTCCCAGTTTATCCCTCCCCCCTTTAATTTCATTTAAAATCGAAGTTTCTGAGAATCAGAAGAGAGCGCTCTGTGTCCCTGCATTAACGAACCCCCATTTATTTTAGGATTACAGAATTCCTCGGAGTCTCCCTGGTCTTTGGAAAGGCCTTTAGAGCACTCAGCAGCCTTTCTTCATGCCGATACGATCGATGTGATGAAGCAAGGCCAACAGGGTCCCCGAGAGCCCCCGCCAAGGCAGAGTAAGTCAAGAGGAGAGAGAGAGAAAAGAAAAGAAAACAAAGCAAAAAACACTAAGAGAAATAGGAGTTAGAAAATAAGGGAGTGTGTGTAATGGGGGTGATAGAGAACATCCACAGCCCCAGATCACCCCATCCAACCTAACATCCCCACTCATGCTCTGACCAGGACATGACAAAGGCACCTCTGTGCCTTTTATTTGTAGGATTTGTACGTTCTGATGACAGCTTCCTCTTTCATTGTTTTTGACTTTAGTGATGACTTCCAAACCTGTGTGGTCGAGAGCACATGTCACTGCTAGGTGTAAGGGGAAGGGACCTCCCCTCCCACTGGGCTCCCGGGGTCGTGGCACAGAGGGGCCCCATCCTCTGACTGCCTCTCTCCTGATGCAGAAACCAGAGGGGGGCTGCCCCTCTATGAAGAGGACCTGGTGCAAGGCACAGTATGGGTAGTTTCAAAGCGCTGTGTGGAGTCGCTATTACAGGATGGGGCCCTGTAACAGACCCCACCCAGGGCCAGAACCTGGAGGCTGAGCAACCCTCCAGACAATTCTTTGGAGCTTTCAGAGCCCAAGCCCCTCTTGGACGGTTCCCCTAAAGTCTACCTAACGCCTGCCTCTGACTCCAGTGCTGACTCGTGGCCAGGGGCCGTGGTGAGAAGGGGGACTCCAGCCGCAGGCCGGTTTCCCAAATGAGAGAAGAGGTCAGTGCAGGTCGGGTTGAATGAGGGCTTCTCTTGGAGGAAACATGCTGAGGCAGGAACTGGGGTGCCCACACAACGGGCAGCCTCTGTAAGGGCCGGTTTAAGGTCTCTCCCTTGAACTCCAGGACTGCGCTCAGAAGCATCCTGATGTGACCCTTCTCACTTGCTCTGTGCTGACTCACTTTCCTTCGGGGGGCACACAGTCCTGGAGGTGGGTGGGATGTGATGGGCTGTGTCCCCTGGAGCAGACAGGTATGGGGGCTGAGGCCCAGGATTCCACACTGTGGCCAGGACTGGGGGTGCAGGGAGAATCACTGAATGTGGATGGGGCACTGCCTCCCTTCCACAGTATCACAGAAAGGCTGACCTGCATTTCTTGGTCCAGTTTCCAAAAACTCGGGGACCGAAACTGATGGACATCAAGGTCTGGGACAAACATTTTGATTTATCTAGCACCTGTGTATTGAGCCCGCACTGGGAACCAGAACCAGCAGACACAAGGATAGAGAGATGACGGAGACCAGTGGCCCAGGACCTCCGGGACCTTTTTCCCAGCCGCCAGCACTTGCCACCATCTCGGCTCTCAGGCCCTCTGCCCAAGAGGTCAGGAGATCACCTCGTTCATCCATCTGTACTATTCATTCTTTTATTTCCAATAAATATTCGTTGTGCTTTTTCCACGTGTCAAGCACTGTGATAGATCCGGGAGCCTCAGCCCTGAACAAAATCAAAAACCTCACCTCAAGGAGCTTACAACCTCTTGTGAGCTACTGTCACAGCCTGAGTCTCTCACCTTGAACCTGGTGCATCTTCGTCTCCTGGTCACTGTTGTTGCCATTTCCTGCTGT